CCACTCCGTCAATATAAACGAAGAAGATGAACGGTTACCCAAACGGCACGTCAAAGTAAACGGCCAGATTAACACATCTAAACCGTTGGTCTGGAAAATGTAGAGGACAAGTGTTCTACCTGATATTAGGCGGCACCACATGTTCGTCTGATTTCAAGACTTAAGTCCAAACTGAAATAGAGCGGACAGTTCAAGGCAATTAGCCCAAAGAAATGCTTCCCAACTTCAGGCATACGGTGCAGTCCGCCCCATCCAAGGAACTGCTCAAACAGACCGGTACTCAAATGTACCCGGACGAATGAAAATTAGAAGAGGTGGCCCGTGTGGTACGAGCCACCCCTTCAAAGGGGCAAATAACTAGGGTAAAAATACTATACCCCTTCACATAGACCAATCCTATAGTGACACGTGGCCCAATGAAAGGGCGACACGTGTCCCAATAAGAAGGCGACACGTGGCAAAGCGTAAGAGCACGTGAATGAGAGAAAGCCTCCTTACATCAGGAGGCTCAATTCCCTAAAAATGTGCATGAAAAGGCGCCCTTTAGGACACGTGTCCTACTCTGATTGCACCGCCAATCAGCGCCCACCATTCCAGGTCATCAAACCCTAGATGGCACACATTCCCACCCATTGCATAGTAAATTGCTCTAACTTCTCTCTACTTTCTCTCTCCAAATATTCTCGTTTTCCGATCACTAACTTGATCGTCGAATGCGAATATTACGTCAAATGGAATATTCGTTGTTTTGCAAGTGTCTGCGGTCGTCTGGTTATATTCACTACCTGTATCTCGAGGAATTCCAAATAACCCGAAACAACTTGGGTCAGGTATCGAGTCAATTTCGAGTCGGGTATATTCGGGTCGGGTCATTTTCGGGTCTAGTATGATCGGGTCATGTTCGAGTCAGGTCAAAATCGGGTTGGGTCATGTTAGGTTGTTCCATTTGTGGATCAAGCTTAAATTAATAATTTTTTATGTTGTTATTGTTGTAATAAGAACTATTAATTCGTTTAATGAGCTTGGCTATGGTTGGAGATGAACAATTTGAGTCATTTTTGGCACCAGACATTTTGGGACATTTTGGATTTCGGATTTATTCGGGTCAAACATTTTGGGTCAATTCGGGTTGGGTCAACTTTGAGTCGGATCAGTTCGGGTGTCGGGTCAAGATCGGATCAACTCCATTTTCAGGTCGAGTATGGGTCGGATCGGGTTGATTTTGAGTTTCAGGTCGTTTTTTTGGGTCGATTACGGGTGACAGGTTGGGTCACGATCTGAGTCTGGATTACCAGGTCTAGTACTACGTAGATCTTAACGTTTAGAACTTCTTTGTAGATATGTTCATTTTTGGCATAGTACCCAAAACCTTACTAATTTAATATGCTAACAGTACAACTGTACAAGCTAGAGTATAGTTGGTTTCTTTTGAGGCTTTTTTTTTTTTCTTTTTCCAGAATCTATTGCGTCCTCAATTGTAGAACATCAATTATGCTTTATTATTGTGATGGTCCTTCTGTTGACAATCAGGCCCTCGACTACTTTAGTTTCTTGATCAAATACACCATTTCAAGAAAGACTTTACATTATAAAAATATATATATATATAAAAATAAAAAATAAAAAAAAAAGTCCAAAACCAATCAATTATGTTTTAGAGCATGTTTGGTAAGATTTTTTTGGGTTGGAAGCGGGTTCAATTAAATCATTTCCATTACCAAGTGTTTGGTTAAAAGGTTTTAGTAATAATTACCCTTACCTAAGGGTAATGGTTTCCACTCATTTATTTAAAAACAAAGGTGACAATTATCCTTTCTCTCCTCAAACAAGAATAAAGAGAGATAGCTTTAAGTGATTCATTTTTATGATTAAACCAAACAAATGAAAAGGAAAGCGTTAAATGATTCATTTCTTCCCTCTTGTTTGTTTCCTTTTCACTCCATTTTCATTATTCATACCAAACGACCCCTAAGTGCTTATGTAAATTTGTTTTAGCCCCTATATAGTGAAGAAGAATAAATGAGGGAGAGGGGTTAGCAAAGAGGAAGAAGAGGAAAACTAAGGAGAAATTTTAAATAAAGTTCAATTTGTATAGGATATTGAATCATCTAGCGTAAAAAATTAAAAAAAAAATTAAAAAAAAATTGAATAAAAAATAAAAAAAAAAGGTCAGGGCCCTGAGAGCATCAACATTAATTAAGGATATATATGCTTTTAGCTAACTTTATGGGTGGCTAAATAGATCCTTATTGATGCTCAATTAGCTAAAAGGATCCTTTTAAGAAAAGGAAATGGTAAACTCCTCTTTCTTAGAGCATAAACAATGGGGAGGATGAATATATACTTTCCTATTTTCTTTCTTTTTTTCTTTAATTGACACATCATATTCTCTTTCTACCACATCACTTCCCACTATCTCCATCTTTTTCCACTTTTATTTTATTTTTAATTTTTTCAACATCAATGAGGATCCTTTACATATACTCCACCATATATATTCTCTCTCCTATTAATATAATAACTTATTCATGTAGTGGCTTTAAAAAAAACAAAAACTAAAAATAATATATCTTTTTGCACAAGAGCCAAAGAAGAGGTTCCTATCCATTAAGAGGAAACAACCATTTCTTCTTCTTAAGAGGATCCTCTCCCCTTCTTGCACATCATTGAGGATCCTTTTAGCTAAAAAAAAAAAAAGTGAGCTAAAAGGATACAAATCCTCATTGATGTTGATGCTCTTAAGAGGAAACAAATCCTCGGCCTCCGTGCCAAAGGTTTGATTATTTTTATGTTTTCTATTAAAAAATAAATATTTTTATGAATAATTAAGTATATTAATAGGTCCTTCACAAAAAAAAAATTATATTAATAGGAAAGAGAATATATGATAGGATATATGTAAATAGGATAGAGAAAATGGGAAAGGATCTTTATTGTTGTTGGAAAAATTAAAGAAAGAGGATGTAGAAAAAGATGGAGATAGTGGGAAGTAGAGGTGTCAAAATATGACCCCCGGCCTGAAACAACCGACCTAAACCGACAATGACCTGTATTCGACCCGTACTTGAAGAATAGGTGAAAACGGTGACATGTAACCTAAACCAAAACATACCCGACATCAACTGATAACCGAATAGACCTGATTCTTTATAACCTAAACCCGAACCTGTAATCAACTTGATATTAACTGAAAAATGATTTGACTCGACTTGATTATGCTCCGAACCCGATTAGTACTCGACTTGTTTAGATCTTGAAAACGATTATAACCTGGCACAACTTGTTACCGATCTAAATGGATATTGACTGATAACCGATTTAACTCGATTGACAATGATCTGAATTCAAAATAACACTTAACTTGATTAAATTTTAAAATAATAAACACCTAACATAACCTATTATTTACTAGAATCATAGTGATTAGTTTAGTGCCCCATCATCCGATTTTCTCCGACTCGTTAAACCAACTTATATATACCCCCTGTTGATATTGTTTTGACTCAAAACTGATGTGGACCAACTTTTAATTAAAAGCTAATTTGAAAATGTTATCAAATTTATCATAAATAGAAATAGCGGAATATTATATTTTTTATTTGACCTACTTACTTCTATTTTGTATTATACCCAATTCTAAGAATGACTAGACCTGACTAAAAGTTGACCTGGGTCTAAGAATGACCCGACCAGAAGTTCATCCGACCGAAATTTACTTGCTTCAAACTTGTCTGTATCTCAACTTGACACAAATCGAACCCAAAACATTACCCGACCCAAAATTGACTCGAATCGAACCCGAACTGCAATCGAAAAGATATAAAGCCTATCATAATCCAAATCGAACTTAATCCAACCCAACCTGATCCCAACTTGTAATTCAGAAAAAACCGACGTGTTTCGACTTGAATTTAACCTGAAACCTGGCATGACCTAACCTGAAGCCGAGTTGAATACCCGATTTGACACCTCTAGTGAGAGGTGAGGTGGAAGAAAGAGAATGTGATGTGTCAAATGGAGAAAAGGGAAGAGAAAATGGGAGAAAAAAATATGTATCCTTCCCATTGTTCTTGCTCTGAAACATGACATTTTCGCTAAAAAATAGAATCAAGGTATAGTTTTTTATATTCACAATCTCTTTTTGACAATTTTTCCTTCAATCAACATTGTAATTTTATATAGCTATTTCCTTCGTTTCAAAATAGTTTTGATGTACACTTATTTGAATAGATGATTTCTTTAAAGGAAATTCTCTTTTGTAACACTATTTTTTATTTTTTTTCTTTGGTAAATTATAAAAAAAAGAAAAAAAAAATTATTATCTTTGGTTATCATAAATTATTATATTAATTTATTTATGACATTAATAATTAATTTTTATAAATTTTTAACTATAGATAGGTTTTTATTTAACATTAAAATTATTTTAGAAATAATTTTTTTAACAAAAAAATACCCCCTCCCCCTACCAGCCAGCCACCCCCTCCCCCGCCCCCTCACTCCCCACTAGCGCCCAACCCAACCCCCCTCCCCTGACCGGCAACCCAGCCCCAGACCCCCTCCCCGTATGGTAGGCAACCCACCCCCATAGTCCCATACCTCCTCCCGGCCTGCACAAGCCAAGTACCCTTCAAGATCAACCCTAACCCACGACCTAATTTTGTGAGTCATTTATACTCCCTCTGTCCTAGAATATTTGATACAGTCAACTTTGCACACATGTCAATGCACTAGTTTGACTTTATTTTTATATAATTAAATATTAATGAATCATATTAAAAATTATATTATATTATAAAACTTTATATTAATACCTATCTAACAACATATTTATGATAAAGTATATGTTTTTATTATGTTAGTAAAAATTTATGGTCAAAGATAATACATAAATAGTGAAAAAAGTCCTACGTTTCAAATATTTTGGGACGGAGGGAGTAATGTGTAAGGATTCTTGAACGAAAATAGACACAGGTCATATATTCATAGATTGATCCCATTCATTTATAGTTCTATTATCTAATAAAAGGATATTAAATAAACGTTTACACTACATGTAAAGAAGGGGTAACAGTTGATCAGATCAGCACATATAGCGGCAAGCTTTATGCATTTATATACTTGTAAAGTTGTAAGTAACAACTCTGATGGATTATGGATAGAACTGTCTATAGATATGTGGATACAAAGTGTGACAAGGATATCCCTACTCGAATTTAAGCCCTTGTTGCCCATTGGTACTCGAATTTTCGTTCAACTGCATGAATCCATTCACCAGAATTAATTATGCATTTAGTGTCATAACTAGGTTACAAAGTAATATGTGATGTTAGTCATGTTACTAAAACACACTATTAAAAATAAAAAAAAATAAAAAAAAAATTAATTTTTCGATAAATCATGAATAAAAAAAACTAATTCTATTATGATAATGATAAATTTTAGACTGATCGAGCTTTTAACTAGATGGGATGGACTACATGGATTCGGGAGACAATTTACACCCGGGTGTAGAATGAAAAATGTACTCAAAAGGTGTACCTTTGCAAGGAACTTCTTCTGGTAACGGTAGCCCTGATAAGAAATCAGTCAAAGGCATCATGATTCAAGAATCAACGCGTAATGAGTATAAAATAAGGTTCAATTAAGAGCACAACTAATTAATCACTGAAAACAGAATGTAATCACCTTATCAGTCCCATAGATGTAATCACAATAAGTGAAGAACGTAGCAAAATTGCTTCGGCTCTGTCCTCCAACAAAATGATGGTAATCATGGAACTCGGCACCACCATAGAATGGAATGTACTTTGTTGGCTTCCATGGAAAGTCATATCTACAACACAACGGACTCGTAATAAATGCTAAAAAAGTATTCGGAAGCAAAATCAAGGCATACTAAAGGCATTAAAGTGAACCGTGCAAAAGTCAAAGTGAGAAAATTTTAGTAAATAAAACAATGGTGGCACAACATATTGAATAGTGTAACAAGCTCCAGTACCCGCTGTGAGCGTCAATAGCCTCGACCTGTCTCAGGACCATCCACAACCAAAATGTAATGAGATGACCCGGAGCCATGGCCAGACCAAGAAACGACGGAGACCCAAGGATCAAGATTTCGGACCAATGTGAATTAGCGGCTGCAAAACCGATAGGGGCGGTATACTCATGATGCACCTTATGAATGTTGTCATACCCCCATTTGGAGAAATGTAAAAGTCTATGAAGCCAGTAATTTGTGTAGTCCTCAACTAAAATGTATACTGTTAATTGTATCAATATTTCACATCCTGATGGCAATGGCAATCCTGTCCTTATCCCTATTAACTGCCAAACATTATAACTTCAATTAATTCAATGCAATAATTTTAGTGTACTCAATAACTAGCAAAATAAAATATCCGTTGTCTTGTAGATAATAGATATGACTTTCCACGGATGCCGACAAAGCTTATTACGGAACGTTGATGCAATTTTGGTTAATGGTGACTCTTTTTGAAAAATATGGCCTTGTTTAATAAAAAGTTTTTAGCTTATTAAAGTCTATAAGATGCTTTCCTCAAAAAAAAAATAAAAAAAAATAAAAAAATAAAAAATAAAAAATAAAAAAAAAACTATAAGAAGATTGACCAAATGCAAAAGCTAATGGTAATTAGCTTATTGAAATAGTTTTTTGAGTCTAAAAAGTTCTTTTTGAAAAACCTCAAAAATGAGCTTTTTAAAATTAGGTTATTGAACATTTAGCTTTTTAATTATTATATACACTAAAAATACCTAATAATTAACAGCTATATACCAAACACTTTTACACTACCTACTATTTACAACCAATTAGTCAAATTAGCTAATAAAATCAGTTAATTATAACCAATTATATCAATCAACTACCAGCTAATTACCACATAGGGTCATATAAATTTATTTGGTAATCCTAATTATTAATAATAATAACAATAACAATAACAATAATAATAATAATAATAATAATAATAATAATACCTCCGTTTTTAATTATGTGTAACAAAGGGGTATTATTTGTAAGACATAAAACAATTCTTTTTTGCACATAATAAGATTCGGAGTTAATAATAATAATAATAATAATAATAATAATAATAATAATAATAATAATAGTTAAATAAATTCCTCAAATTAAAGTTATAAATTCAAGACTTGTAATTGATGTGAATAAAAAAAATACACTATAATTAAAATTGACCTTGTAAGCAGGGTAGGAAATCAGTTGAAAAGGGACTGCAACGATGAAAAATAACTTCATAACGGCCTTATAGCAAGACATTATCTCAGCAAACGATAACCTGACTTTAGGCTGAATTTTGTAACGTTTGATGTTGGCCACGCCAAGAAGCTCGACAACGACGAGTGGTAGAGGGATTACAGTAAAAATGGAGTAGAGGAAGATAATGTTGTGACAGTGTAATATGTAATCTGATTTATTAGCTGAGTAGTTAAACCAGAGAGTTTCTGCATAGCTGAGTGTTCGATTTAAGGCCGTCTCCGCCTCGTCGACTGTCTTGTAAGGCAACATTGTGAAACTTCCTGGCTGAGAATAGCTAGAACACACGGAAGTGCTGGTGCTTGATCGATTATCTTTTTTTAGAAAGATACAACTATTTATGAAGTTACCCTAAAAGGCTAGGATGATACTACACTCCATAACCCACATATGCTGAGATAAAATGCAATTAAAAGTTGTGTGGACACTTGTTAATTTGTGAGTTGTGACTTTTAATGTCTTGACACTTTGTTTTTTTCTACTGACAACTCAATAATTTTAGAAAAACTCTACTACGTATGTGGTTACCTTTAAGGCCTTGTTTGGTTGTATTTTAATAATGGGTGAAATATATTTTCATGGGAAGTGTATTTAATAGTGGTTATTTGGTTAGAAAAAAGTTAGGAAGCGGAAATTTCTAAGGAATCTGAAATTCCTACAAAACATGGGAATTAATTTCCCACACCCTACCTTGGTCACTCAAACTTCCCACATGTATTTTGGATGAAATTACATTATTGTCCTCAAAATTTTGGAAAAGTAGTTCAACTTATAATTATACATGGGTATTACATAAGTTAACCAAACAAAACATAGGAAACTAATTCATGGGAAATACGATTTCCTATATGTCAACCAAACACAATTTTAGTATTTCCTAGCAATAAAATTTCCTATGTATTGTAACTTTCTATAGGCATTTAATTCCCATATGCAACCAAATGAGGCCTAATATTATTGCATTTTTCACTCTCTCTCCGTTTCGTAATAATCACAACAGTAGGGTTAACATAAAGTTTTAAGGAAATTATAGGATTGGGACCAAAAGAAGAATCTTTTAATATAAAGTATAGTTAGTGGGAATATATTTAATTATTAGTAAGAGAGAGAAATATTAAAAAAAAAAAAATAGTGTAAGTGAGGTTGGTAGGAGAGAGAAATAATAAAATAGTTGTAAGCCCTTATGTAAAATGGTGTAATTATTGTGAAACGAATGAAAAAAGGAAAGTATTGCAATTATTATAATACAAAGGGAGTATATATTGTGAAAGTTTTTTTGGCTCTATTATAAAGTGACTCTACTTTTATACGAAGTATATATCTTTAATGTATCCTTTTATTTATTTTGACTTGGAGTATATGACATGCCTACATTAAAGCTATTTTTAGTTCACCTTATTTTTATTTATTTGATCTAATTTGAACTTTTTTTTCCTAATCTAATCAGATCCAATTACCTAATTTGTCCAAAATTTATCGTTATATGTACACTAATTTATAAGAAAACATATGCTCAAATGGGGTTTGATTAGATTTATATGTGTATTTTCCAAATATATAATTTTCATAAGTTTTTTCGTTACGAAAATAAAAGTATATGTTTAGCTATAAAAAAAATTCACTGATTAAATGATAATGTATGTTGATAATTTAATATTTTTAATCTGAAATAAATAATGTCTTGAAACAAAGCAAATTAAACATAGTCCTAATATTTCCTCCAAAAAAAAATAAAAAATAAATAAAATAAGAAGTCCTAACTTCTAATAGATCAGCTATCAATAAATGGCTACATAGTCACTGACCACAATGGGAAGGTATTTTAGCCATGTTTAGCTCAATGCCAAAAAAAATAATAATAAAAAAAAATAAAAAAAAAAAAAAAATAAAGAGAGAGGAGAGAAACTCGATGTCCACATGAAAAATGTTTTTCGTAACGGGAAACTTCAAAACAATTATCTACTTAGTTCGCCATTAATGACTTCACAACAATTACAGCTATCTGATTAACTATTTGAGAGAGAGGGGGGGGGGGGGGGGCGGGGGGGAGACTTGATCTGATTAACTATCTTTTTCGCCATTGATGATTCACAACAGTTATCTAGTTAGCATGTCAAACTGTATCATGCAAATTATTATCTCTAGGATTGCTAAAGAGGAGAAAAATAAAAATTATATCATGCAACTTACTAAGCCAGCATTAAAGCAATAATAGGATCTTGTTAAAAAAAAAATGAGCAAACTAGGGACAAATGAAAACAAAATACAAAAAAAAAAAAAATGTAGGCAAAATAAATTGAGAGAAAAGAGAGCACAAATTATTATGCATTTTTTTTATCTTTTTGGTGGTATGTTAGGAAAAGGCGCCCTACGAACTAAAGGTCAATGGAGCTGGACTAATGGGAGGAAAGGACAAATCCCCACCCCTATAACATCCATAGTGAAAATTTGATTAGCAGATACAATCTTACCACTAAACCAAGCACTATTACGTAATATATGTAGCAGTGATAGTAGCAGTAGCAGCAAGAGTAGTAGTAGTAGGGGTATTGTGCATATATAAGGGTGAGAAAAAAAAAAAAAAAAAAAAAAAAAAAAAAAAAAAAGGGTGAGAACAAGATCAAGACATCTCATCTTAATGATCAGCCAAACCCATGATGGAAGAGGCAAATATCCAAAGTCATGGTCATGCACAATCAGTGTCGCGAACAATTTCCATGGATGGCAGGATGATAGCAGCCACCGGCTTGTCCACATAGCCACCACCTTCGTCAATTATCAGCCTCAAGCCTTCAATATGAAGCTTTCCATGGTGACCACTTACCAAAATGGTTGGCATAACTTTTAATTCCTGATAAAAATTGACATGGTAATATCACACTACATATACAACAAGAACATGGGAGGGAAGGGGAGGGGAGGGGAGGGGAGGTGAAGAGGGAAAGTGAGCATTCAATGATACCTCTGGCATATCCCAAATGCTTTTCCTTCCACTTAGACATTCAACCTTTGGTATGGCTGTGTCCCTAGCTTTCAGACGCTTCAGTTGCTCATTGACAGAATTTCCTTGTTGAAGTCCACCATGCACCGCTATCAGCCTACATTTCTTGAGCCCCTCTGTGGTCTCCAAACAAACATTGTCCTGCAGAATACTTAAATTTAGATAATTAAAATTTCTGCTGAAATAAAAAGTCACACATAGACCATAGTGAGCATATTCAATCCTGGAAGGGTTGGAAGATAAATGATTATCTGATTTCCCTTAATAGCTAAAGTAAAGAAAATCCCTCTAAAGTGTTTTTTCAAGTTCCAAATATGGACATGCAGAATATTCAGGCCTAACCTCTTCGTGAACCCAAACCAAATCAGCAAGAAATTTCTTGTGGTAATCCGGTACAGCTTTCATCAAATCTGCTTAGAGAGACCACAGACAAAACCACAGCAATTAGATCACAGCAATCACATGTGAATGAGGACCTCAGACCAGCACAATTGAAGCCACAAAATATACATCATTTCAGCCAGAGAGGCTGCCCAATAAAAAAATGGTACTAGAGTGAAAACTGAATACCGATCCTACTGTAAATCTTGTAAAATGCAGTTAAAATAAACACCAATTATTCAGAGTTTTTAATAAGTTTCAATTTAAACAATAATTACTATGATACTAACTCACTAAAACATTTACAAAATCCAAAATTAATCTTCAAATAAGACACTCTATAGAAGCGCACACACACACACAAAAACAGTTTTGTACAAGTATTATCTTTATTTAACACAACAATTGTTTTAGAACTAGAATTTACTAAACTTTTCAATAGTTTACAATTCAACTTCAAAGGAATTTTAAAGTTAAAGTATCATCCAGTGTAAATTGAAGCAACGTAGGTGTTTTGTGAAACGTATATTATATTGAAATTTTGTATACAGATTAATGAAAAATCGTCCCACCTCAAGAAAAGTTATAGCTGTATAAATAGCAAGTGATATACAGTGCAGTACTGAGTTCTTTTTTTGGAATCGATCATGCAATCAGATCCTGAAGACACCCAACGAGCTATGATGCAATCTTACTCTGATAAAAACTGGGCAATAAAGAATCATCCTTGAGAAAATAATCCACCCTAATGAGGAGAAAAAGATCAAGTCACAGCACAAAGCTCAACCAACTTAACGCTACAGAATCACCCTGGTATGCCAGGTGGGAACCCTCTATTCAAAATCAAGGTTCACTCGCTTAGGTTGGGAGTCCTTAACCAAACATGCTGACACATACTCAAACATAACCTATGAGTTTCTTTGTACTTTCTCAATCACCCATAGCTCAAATTACTACTCTCTTAAGAGCAATCAATCAATCAATCAAAGCCTTAATCCCATAAGTGGGGACGGCTACATGAACCAAAAGTGATCATTCCGTAGTCATCCACACAAATCTTCCTCCTCCATCCCTTACGGTCAAATACCTCATTCTCATGCACATCCATATGCTTTATATCCTTCCTAACTCCTTCCAACCAAGTCATTTTCGGTCTCCATCTACCCCGTTTAACATCACCATGATCCCACTTTGCATGCCCAAACCAACGCAAGCGATTTTCTCTTAGTTTGTATGCAATCCCTGCAACACTCACTTTCATGCGAATAACTTCATATCCAATTCTATCTCTTACAGTGTTCCCGCATATCCATCTTAACATGCGCATTTCCGTAACCTCCATCTTTTTAATGTGCTCCTTCTTAGAAGCCCAACATTCTATACCATAAAGCAACACTGGTCTTATGGCAATCATACAGAATTTCCCTTCAATTGTAAGGGAATGCTCCGATCACATAACACTCCCATGCCCGCTCTCCATTTAAGCCACCCCGACTGAATCCTATGGGCCACGTCTTGATCAATGTCCCCATATTTCTGGATGATCGACCCAAGATATTTAAAACACTCACTCATGGTCAATTCCTTTCCGTCCAAATTCACTACTCACCTACGAGCATTTCTTTCAATTGTTTTGGGCAACACGTAACTCTAAGTGTCAGACAAGTAAACCGAATTCTAGGTTTACCCACCGATGGAGGTTTAGCTGGACCTTGAAGTAAACTACCCGGTTACTATGATGGTGTGTTTTGGAGAGACCCCCCAGCCTACCTCAATACAACCAAGTTGTTCAAAAACTACTTGTCTAATCCACCCCGCCTTCCGCATCATTTGTAGACACCTTGATTGGACACTCTTTGCTATGGACTATGTTGCCCAGACTTGAACTTGGGTGACATGTCCAACATGGTATCAGTTCTTCAGACACTCCAGATTTTATAAAATTTTATATAAGCCCACTATTCATTTGGGTGTCATATTGTGTCGAAGTTTCGAAGCATCTGACACACGACACGACAAAGAGCAAGGTGTCGGAGTTATGTAGGATATGAATAACACAGGACGGATTTTTTGGTGAGATGTAGATGGGCTATGCCAACTAGGTGCAGTTCCACGATAACATGGCCACCAAGTTTGACAAGATGAGGAGCCGGTTCACCTCCATGAAGTCTGAGTTCTATGGCCTTGGGGTTATGATGAGGCAATATTTTAAGGGTGGTTGAGGTATGATACCTCTTATGGCCATTAGGGCATTGTTTTCCTTTCCGCTTTGCATGTTTTTATTGTTATACCTTCACATTAAGGACAATGTGAATTCGGAGAGGGAATGATTTTGTCATTTATATAGTAGTCATTTATAGCTTTTGTTGGTTGTTAGCGTGCTCTATAGGACTAACGCCATGATGATGACTATAAATTGAACACATTGAAAACCCATTCTCTAAGTGGCTAGGAACTAAACTTGTTTGTGGCTAGAATGGTCTCCCTGCTCGACCAATGTGAGTAGCTTGTGTGGCCTTGTGAGGTTCAACAATCCCTTCTTTTTTTTTTGTGAGAAAATGCAATTAGACTTGTTACCCTTTTGTCCTCAGCTAGATATTTTTTTGATGCTATAAATAACAGCAAGTAGGAACTTCATGACTCTACCAACCTACGCTAATTAATGTTGATCAAACAATCAAAGAAAACATTCTCAATCATTTTGTTCAAATTCAATGCCAGCATAGAAAGCTCCTCATCATTCCAGGCCATACACCCAACAAAAACAGATCTGCATCAGGTTTAATACCAAAGAGCCGCCAACAATATCAAAAGGCTTCATGAAAGAGGTGCAATTTTGCCCTTTTCAGGCTATACCTATTTGACCAAGTTCAACTACAGCTAGTTTGTAAGTCGAGTTTTCTTGCCTTCAAAATCATTGAATTGGATGAGAAGCAAGGATAGTACAATTGTTCAAACTAGCAAACTAGCAACAACACCCTCGAATTAAATTTTCATCCAGCAAGGTTTAGGAGGAGGTTTATATCCAGGCTTGCCCCTTACTAATACAAACTAATAAAAGACTTACACAAAACATATCAAGTGTTGCCTCCTTAATCCTTATTGCAAACAACAGGGTGCCATGGGGTTGCTTCAAATCACACGCCCATAGAGTTACAAGTAAAACTCTCTCCTAAACCCGAAATCGATTTCGATCAACTTACACAAGCATAAACCCACAACATTTAAACAAAAATCACAAGAATTTAATACAAATTAGACATATAGACGCATTACTTGGGACGCTTTAAATCAAACAATCATACAGTTCCAAGTCAAATCCTCTCCTGATCCTGAACCTGAATTTGATTTCAATCAACTTACAGAACAGCAAAACCCCACATAAATTTCTTCAATTAAAACCACAAAATTCACTAACAATACAAAATCAACCCACAAGGTGATTCAACAATACAAAATCATTCAACAAACCAATATAATTCAAGCAAAAACATAAAAATCATTCAACAAACCAAACTAATTCAAGTAAAGGACATAAAAATCATACCAGCAGAGCCATGAGAAACTCCATAAGATTGAAAAGTAGGAGCAGCATCATAAATAGAACCCTGATACTCAACTCCTTTAGCAGTATTAAACTTAACTTTGATAGAACCAGCCCATCTTCTTCCTTGCAAATGCATATTCTCAAACCCATCACCAACGTACCACCCTTCTCTCTCCTCGCTCTGCGCATACTCCTTCCACCCATCCCGAAACTCAGACCCGTCAGGCGGCGGCGGAAGAACTCCGACGAATGCCGCAAAGGCGAAATCATGGTTGCCAGCAAGAAAAACATGCTTTTGATTTGGGTATTTTGAGGGAAGAGAGATTAAGAAATCAATGACCCTTTTGGTATCTGGGCCTCTATCACAGTAATCTCCCAAGAAAATGATAATGGCGTTGTTGAATTGAGATGGGTTTGTTTGGGATTGGAGATTGGACCATAGATTTTGGAGCTTTGTGTAATATCCATGGATGTCGCCTATGCAGATTACCAATCTTTCTGCTTCTGAGTTGAGGTTTGAGCCGCTCATTTTTCCATCGGCCAAATAGTTTGTTTGGTTTGAATAAGTACTCCCTCTCAGTTTTATTAAGTATTGAAAAATTTGCAAATTACAATATTTAAAGTTTATATTTTGTAAATTGCAACAATTTAAAAAAAATTGCAAATAACAGCCCAAAAATCTAAGAACTTGTTAATTGCCACTCAATTCTGTTAAGGTTTTAGGGGTCATTTTAACTCGATCCAAATTGATCTCGCAATTGTCAAAAAAAACTAACGTGAATGTTTCGTTTTGTGTATCAAAAGATGTATCATTTTGTGTGCAATTATTCTTTTTGTCACAAAATTTGCTCGGGGAAGGTTTTATGAGTTATTTTAGCCCTTAAGGTTCCAAACTGAGCTCGAAATTGACAAAAAATACAAAAAAAAAAAAAAAAAGGTAAACACCTCGTTTAGGGATTAGTTTGGATGTAAAATAGGATTGGGTGGCAATTAACAAGTTAGTAGTACTTTTGGGCTGCAATTTACAATTTTCTTTTAAATGGCTGCAATTGGCAAAATATATACTTTAAATTGCTGCAATTGGCAAATTTTCCTTAAGTATGGTCTGATTGCTCAAAAGTCTATACCCAGTATATAATAGTATAAGTAGTGTGTGCCCCGAGCGATGCTCCGATTCAAAATTATAATTATCATATTGCAAAATTTAAATTTCTATGTACATGGTGCATCATAAATATAATTAAACAATAGAATAACTAATGGAAAAAAAATACTACCTCTGTTTTTTTACTACTTGACTCATTGCAAATAGGCACACAAGGTAAGAAAGAGTAGACCAGAAAGCTAAAAAACCAAACTACCCCTGCCCACTAACTATTCCCCTCCACTGACTTTTCAGTCTTACCACCACCATCCCTTACGCCACCACCACAGTCCCACACACCACCACCACAGCCACCGTACCCTCTCACTCCACCACCACATCCCTCTACGCCACCACCACAACCACCAAACCCTCTTCAAACTTGACAAAAACCACATCTGCACCATCGTACATACCACCACAAAAATAAAGGAATGAGAGGAGAGCGAAAATATTGAACAACAACCATTGTTTACATGAGCAATTTTTAAGAAATTAAAAGCTTGGTTATCAAATTAGGCTATGGTGGTTTTGGACCTGGAACTTTTGGCCAGATTCGACCACCATGGCCAATTGGTTTTATGGGCTTTGTGTACTTTAACAATGTCGATGAAGATGTAATTAAGGCGTGAGGGTCTTGAGGGGAGGAGGGAGGAGTCTAATGGCGGTGAAAAGGAGAAATTAAGGTGGTAATTGATGGTGGTGTGTCATGATTGTTTAGGTCAAAATTTGACTACTGGGTAAGACTAGGTTTAATTAGACAATAGCTAGATTAATTGATATGCAAATGATGATGCAGGTTCAACGGATGAGAATGAATGACCTACAAGAAATGAGCAAAGGGGAAAGGGAGAAAGAGAGACAAGATGATGACGCAGAAAACCTCAGGAATAAGGGTAAACACTGCGGGTGTCTATGAGTCCACCAACCCATTAGGTTGAGAATTTAGTACAAGTACACTGTAGGTTTGGAATAGATTTGTCACATTGTTAATTATTGCTAATTCCTATAAAATGTAAAGCTTAGAGATTGTATGATGATCGTTTTCAATGATTCTTACCCTCTTTATAATATAAAATCCTCCTAAAGCTCTTCAACGGCTCTTTTCCTGACTCCGTGGAATTCGGGTTAGTTGCTAGGCTCTGCTCCGAGTTTCATGCACATTCTCCATGCATTACCCATTGTGGTTTGACTTGTTTCGTGCTAACAGTAGCTAGTTGTAGCTTACTGGCTCCGATTCTCATGGCACTCCTCTTGACTTATTCAAACTTGGATCTTCTTAGAATATTCCTTTAGGAGACCTTTATTTATCATTCTTTGACTTCTGAAAACCGGATCATTGATTTCGCGACAACCTATAACCTGCAACCTAGCAACCTGCAGAAATATGAAACTGTAGCGATAATTTAGGCACAACAGTTTTCCCCCAGCTTGTCTCATAGATGTACCTGGTGCGTTTGTGAGGCAAGCTTAATCACTGATCAAAAAAGATAAACTTTGAAATTAACTAAAAGATAAAAATCCCCAAAGATAATTCTCTATCTTAGATCTGTTAGAAAATATAGAAATTTAAAAAAGATAACTTCTATCCGTTAGACCTCAATAAATGCTCATATTATGTAAACGTCTAGAGTCTTCTCAAGTCAGAATTTTCAAATCGATTTCAAAGTAGAAAAATCTAGGGTTTGCTTCTTTGAGCGAAAATTGAGGGAAACAAATCCACTTCTGCAAAATGCGATCTAAGCTGGGATTTTGCAATGGTGAACTCAAATCTCGCGAACTCGTTGTATCTTGGTATGCTACTATTCTCTTTGTGCTTTAATTTCATTGTTTTCATTGCGTTTCTTTACAATTTTTAGTTTAATTATGGTTAAAATTAAGCATGTGGCTAAGAAAAAATGTCATAGACATTCGACTAGAAACCTAAGAGAAGGAAAAACTAAGATGGGGAAAGCTGATGAGGACAAACCTAGCAAGATAATGGAGGAAGAATTGAAGGAGTTGAAAAAGGTTGTTGGGTTCCCAGATGGTGCTATGCTTTTCGCACCTAAATTAGATGAAAGGCCGCAATGTTGTGACCAGGATCACATCATCTTTTATGAATTTCCTTTCAAGAATGGTTTCAAATTTCCCTTTTCTCCATTAGCTAAACAGATCTTGAAAACTTTTAATCTGAGACTGGGTCAATTGATGCCTACTGTTTGGAGGGTTGTTGGTATGATAGATAAAATTATAGCCCATTGGAAAGAGGCCAGAATGCTTTGTCTTCTAAGAGTTATGTGGAAGACACCACGAGGAAGCTGAAGAGGGCTAACAGTGCCAAGAAGGACATGCAGTCTCGTAAAAGATGCAGCTGACAAGAAGATGACAGAGCTTACAACAGCCTTGGAACAGCAGAAGAAGGAGTTTGTGGAAGGCATGAAAAAGAAGGATGAGGAAGTGAAGCTTCTTTCTGATAGGGTAGTGTTTCCGGAAGAGGAAGCTAAGGATATTGAAGCTGATGTAACTTTGAAGCTCAAAGCTCATTTGGCTAATGGGTTCCTGCTCAAGAGATATGAGGATGAGAAAGGAAATTAAAGAGGAAGCTGCAGCAGATGGTGGATGGCTATCTGCTTGTTGACAACATTGAGGACCTGGTATCTGAGGAACATAAGGGTGATGATGTTAATGCTGAAAAGTCTATTGCTGAATCTTTGCCAGGTCACAACGATGAGCACCCAGTTGTAGGTGATGGTAGTGTTTCCATTGAAAAAGATGGACCTGAGGCTTAGCTCTTTGTTGCTTATGTTTTCTTTGGTATTAGAACATTGATTTTGTCTTTTAAACTTATGTTTTACTTTGCTCATGGGAGCAAAGTTTTTTATCTGTTAGCTTTTCTTGTGACATTGAACGTTTGATGCTAGGTTCTTTTGAATAAATTAGACTTTGGCTTTACCTTTGTTGCACGATGCTTTTGTTTTTTCTCTGAATGTCTTTGATACTTGGCGCTTTGGCCCTTAGTTCGTTAGTAACTTTGACAAGTTATAGTTGTACCTGCATCACAAGGGTTAGAGGTAAAATAAATAAATCAACAAAGTTTGAAATTACTTAGTTGATTCTTCGTCTTTGTTTCCTTGTATACCTGATTATACCCGGAATTCAGGTTGTATCTGGGATTCAGGTTATCTCTTTGAATCTGCAAAAACAGTAGGTTAGAGATCACCGTTAGCATTGCCGCCAATGGCCCTCGGATTCTTGAGTTAGTATTGATCTTATGGAGGTAAAACCAAACTGGAAAACAATGAATAATGATAATAAATTTTTTTTTGAACATAGGGAATTAACTTAGAAATAACGTGGATATAACCTAGAAATAGCTTAGAAATAACTCAGAAATGGTAAGGTTTTAAATGCGTTGCGTTCCATCTTCTAGGTACCAGCTTACTTTCTGGTGTGACTAACCTATAGGCTCCTTTACCAACTACCTTGTCAATCTGGTATGGACCTTCCCAAGTTGCCCCCAGCATACCTGCGTTGAGCTCTCTGGGGTTTTGGAATACATTTCTTAGTACCCAGTCTTCAATTTTGAACATTTTTGCCTTTAAATTCTTGTTGAAGCTTCTTGCCACCATCTATTGATATGCAGCCATCCCTATGTATGCCAAGTCTCTTCGCTCTTCGATTGTATCTAGGTCATGAGACAGCTTCTCGTTGTTTTTCTCTAGGGTTAGCAGGCCATATCTGGCTATTAAAGTGGTGACTTCTGCAGATAGCACAGCTTCTCACCTGTATACTAGGGAAAAGGGGGTTTAACCTGTAGCTGTCCTTGGTGTAGTTCTGTTGGCCCATAAGATTTTGAGTAGTTCTTTTGCCCACTTGCCTTTCTTTGCCTTCAACTTCTTCTTCAAAGAACCAATGATTACTTTGCTACTAGATTCAGCTTGTCTATTCGCTTATGGGTATCTAGGTGTTGATGTAATGAGGGTAATGTTCCACTTTTCATAGAAATGTCTGGTTGGGGCGCTTATGAATTAAGATCCATTGTCGCAGACAATTTCAGATGGTACACCGAATCTACAAATTATATTGGTCTAGATGAAGCTGATCACTTCTTTGTCTTTCACCTGCTGAATTGAATCTGCTTCTATCCACTTAGAAAAATAATTTGTTAGAGCCAACATATAGACCTTTTGACCTGGGGCAAGTGGTATTTTGCCAACTATATATGTCCATGCCCCATCTCATAAAAGGCTATGGAGTCAAAGTAGAATGCAAAGGTTCAGAGGGTCTATGAATGATACCCGAGTGATGTTGGCAGCTGTCACACTTACTTACATACCTGTGTGCATCATTGCGCAGTGTTGGCCAGTAGTAACCATAGGTTAGTATTCTGTTAGGTAAATTTATTCCACCTGAATGGGCTCCGTATTCACCATCGTGAAAATCCTTAAGTATTTGCTTTTATCTGCCTTCTTTAATGCGTCGTTGCAGTACGTTCTTGGTTGATTTTTTAAACAGAATACCTTGGATGGTCACGTATTTGGATGCTTTAAATCTAAGTGCTCTTGATTCAGCCTTATTTTAGGGTAGGATATTGTGTTCTAGGTAATTGAAGATAGGTTGAATCCAACTAGTTTGATTTGATGTGGAGGCAATGGTGTTAGGTTCAGCAGGCTCATCTTTGACAAGTTCGGGCTGGACAGATTTGGGAGTGCTAGGATTGCTAGGTTCGGACTCGGTAGGGCTTGGGTTGACAGGTTTTCGCGTATGCGCTTCTGTGTTAATCGAAGGTATTAGCAGGTGGACCAAAGGGATGAAAGAGAATTTGGATTTTTTCAAGGCTGATCTCAGGTTAGCTAGGGATTCTGCTTGTGTATTCTAGTCTCTGGGTATTTGTTTAATAGAGAAAGTAGCGAACTTGGCTGCTATAGATTTGGCTAGGTCTAGGTACAGAATCATCTTAGAATCTTTAGTAGCAAATTTGCCATTCATCTAACTTACAACCAGGAGAGAATCACAAAACAACTGCAATTTGGAGGCTCCAAGATCCTTTGCTAGGTGCATTCCTGCAATCAAAGCTTCGTACTCTACTTCATTGTTAGTAGCTTTAAATTCAGAACAAATAGATTGTACCATCATGTCCCCCTGTGGCGACTTCAGCACTACACTTAGACCAGCACCTCGAAAATTGGATGATCCATCTACGTACATATTCTAAGTACTTAGGCTTGTAACTTGAATAACCAGCTTCACTTGTTGCTCAGCTTGTTGCTCTAGTTTAGGGCTGAAGTCAGCCACAAAGTCAGCTAAGGCTTGTGACTTTACTGCTGCTCTAGGCACGTACTTAATGTCAAATCCACTAAGTTCGATTGCCCATTTGCTCATTCTACCTGTCAGTTCTAGTTTGCGTAGCACAACCTTGATGGGATAGTTAGTTTTCACCATTATTGGATGAGTTTCAAAATACTGACGCAATTTTTTCGAAGCTACTATTAGTGCTAACACCAGTTTTTCAAGTGATGAGTATCTGGTTTCAGCACTAAGGAAAGTTTTACTAACATAATAGACAGGTAGCTCCTGACTTTTAGCTTCTCTTGCTAAGACAACACTTACAGCTTGGGTGCTAACAGCAAGATAAAGCTGCAAAGACTCTCCTTCACCAGGTTTGGACAATATTGGAGGTGACATTAAATAGACTATTAGGTCCTAAAAGGCCTTCTCGTGATCATCAGTCCAATAAAAATCTTTAGTTTTCTTTAAAACATTATAAAACAAGTGACATTTATCTGATGACCTCGAGATGAACCTATTTAATGCAGCTACTCTTCCTGTCAATTTCTGAACATTTCTAGGTGATTGAAGATTGATAATAGCGTGTACCTGGTCTGGCTAGCTTCGATTCCTCTTTGCGTTACAACATAGCTCAGGAACTTACCCGCACATACTCCAAACGAGCATTTGGACGGATTCAGCTTCATTTCATATTTCCTCACCACTTCGAAGGCCTGGTTCAAGTGATCCACATGATCAACTGCTTTCTTGGACTTCACCAGCATATCATCAATGTAGACTTCCATGGTGTCCCCCAGCTGGTCTTTAAAAATCTTGTTGACCAATCTTTGATAAGTGGAACCAACATTCTTCAACCCGAACGTCATCACCTTGTAATAGTAGATTCCTTTATCCGTTATGAAATCGGTCTTCTCTTGATCGTTAGGATGCATTAGGATCTGGTTGTAGCCTGAATATGCGTCCATGAATGTAAGCAGCTTATGTCCAGCTGTAGCATCTACCATTGAGTCGATGTGAGGCAGGGGGAACGGGTCCTTGGGGCATGCTTTATTCAGATCTGTGAAGTCAATGCAGACTCTCCAGGTTCCATTCTTCTTGCAGATGACGAACACGTTAGCTAGCCAATCTAGGTACTTGACTTCCCTTATCTTCCCTGTACCTAACAACTTCTGCACTTCTTCAATTATGATCTGGTTCCGCTCTGGTGCAAGTTTTCTTCTTTTTTTCTTCACTGCTTCATGTTAGGATCTACATTGAGCTTGTGCGTGATGATTTTTGGGCTGATTCCCTTCATGTATCTGTGAGACCAAGAAAAACATCTGAATTCTCATTCAAACACTTGATGATGGTTTCTCTCTACACTAGTAGAAAAAACTAAATGAGCACCGGTTCAATACCAGCTTTTCGAACCGATTTTAAACCGGTTTAGATTTGAAGGGTGCGAATAAGTGAAATTATAACCGGTGCGAATAACCAAAATTAACCGGTGCGAATAATGCCTTCAAAAATTAAAAAAAAAGTTATTCGCACCGCTTCAAACCGGTGCGAATAATGCCTTAAAAACTAATGCCTAATTTTTTTTTCATTTAAATTGACATATAAACACTAACACATATATAAACTTATATTTCTTTTATTAATACAAAGCTGTAATATTACAATTTTCATTTTTTTTTAAAAAAAACTAGGTTATAGAACATAGTTAAATATTGTAAATCGACCCAACTGTAAGATTATTACAACAATAGCGTGAATATTACAACAGTTGTGTAGAGCAGATTAGCAGCAGCAAGAGCAGAATAGCCTTGACCTTTATCCCAACAAACCAAAGCAAAGTCAGATGAAGCAAATTAAAATAAACAAGAACTGCAATTGCAGCTGCAGTAGCAATAGTAGACTTGCAAGGCGGCAGCTGCAGTAGCAGCCTTGGCAAGAAAGCAGCTACAGTAGCAGCCTTGGCAAGGCAGCAGCTGCAGTAGCAAGCCATGCAGCTCGTGCTCGCAAAACAAAAACACGACTTGTCAAGGCATCTTGTACAAAAGCATTATGTATTCAACTTTAAATTAGCAACATACAAGGAGCTGATTCCGATCCAGAGTATAACAATCATTCACATTAGTTATATCATCATGCATTTCTTCATTTAAAATAGCAACATACATATAAATATCATTCCCATCTTCTATTCTTATCTACAAGCCTATAAAACTATTAACATAAGCAAAGACGACCAAGGTTCTAATAATCTAATTAAATGTCAAGGATGAATCTTCAGTGATTTGCAAACAACGATAGAGACATTAGAGCTTTCAAACCAAAATATTTATTGTACCCAAACCAAAATAAATGTCTTCTGACCTAAAATACAATATTTGCAGCTAAAATTTCAAAAAGGGTCAATTGAATGATTATTACCCTCAGAGGCAGAGATGGTAAAGTCGGCATTTCTCTACCTTATTCTGGATTCACAATGAACCGCAATAGAAAACAAACAAACAAAAACACAAATTACTAATCAATCTAAAATTAAGTCACATGCAAGACAAAATATCTTATAGAATTATTAGAACTTGAGCTTAAACAAATGAAAAAAATAAATGCCAAACTCACTATAAAGAAGAAAAGAAATAGTAGAGCTAATGAACCCTCCAAGAATGGTGAATAACTCAATTGTATAGCTTGATGTTTAGATGCTATCACTACAATGCTCACACTTGCTGTAGTGACGACATGCACTTGACAAATCAAGAGTTGGTGTAGAGCAAAGTTTGATCAAGACATAAATGTCAGTGATCTTAGAAGAACTTAAGAAGCTGTAAGACTTCAAAAATGCAAATAAAAGCTCCCTGTGTGGTTACAAAAACATTTCCAGCCCCATGAAGATGATCAAGTATGATTTACAGAAAATAACCTGCCCTCCGTAATGCTTTAAGTACATCCCCTAATAAAGCTTACTTGTGCTTCCTAGCAGCAACTGCAATGTATAATCCATCGGATAGCTCAATTGATAAATCCAAATCTCCTCTGTGAGAAAATAGATGAGACACAAAAGACCCAAATGGTTCCACAGTAGCACCTAAAAGAAGGAATTTAGCCCATATCAATAAAACTAAAAAAAACCCAATATTTCTAACTACATATGTACATAAGAATGATAAAGAATAGCTTATGCAAACATGATTTAAAGCATTATTATCAACCACCATTTTCTGAGCAGCTCATTCAAAATTTCAAATACCTAATCGCCCAAACAAAACCAGAGAACTTTACCATTGTTACAGCACACGGATCTTAAAGTCCAAAAAAGTAAGCAAGGATCATGAAAGTAAGGAGAGTACGGAAGAAAGGGAGAGGCAGAACAACTTCGAGCATAAGAAAACATTGTATTAGCTTAACATATAAGTATAGAAGCAGAACGGTTATAACCCTTCTAAATTCCAAGACTTACCTCTCAAACATTCGATTGTGCTGATAGCAACCCGTAACTCCTCAATTATCTGCATTCTTGTTTTCAAATCCTCTCTCAAGGGTTCATGACATGAAGGATCTTATTAAGAGTAAGCTCCAACATACTTTGTGAGCCCATTTCAAAGTATTAAAAGATGTTCAACCTATAGGTGATACATTAGGCTATTTAAAAATTCATGCATTTTAACCTTTAAGCATGTCAAACATGAGAATATAATGCAATGGATCGAGTCAAACCACAACAAAAACCAATTCGGGTCTACGAACGAAGGCACAAGCATAAGGCAAGGAGACAAGAGCAGCAGCAACCAAGCTTGTAGCAGGAAAATGACAAAAGTCTTTAATGATCCACTAAGAAGTGTGGCATCTGATTTTTTCAGTTAGGAAAGCCACCTTGGCAGTACATGACAAAGTTTTTAATTACTAGGGAACTTTTGTATGAGGGAAAGGCTTGGTATATAAGGGGTAGCAATGCTAAAGTAGCAAGTATGTCATTAGAGAAAATAGTTGTAGAGTAGTAGTAGTTGTAGCCTTCTTCAAGAGTCAAGCTTTAAGCTTAGACCATAGTTTTCTTTTAGCCATTATTTACAAATATCAATAGAAAATATCCAAGCTTTCCTCTATGATCTGTTTACTGTTACATTCAAGCAAGCCCGATTACTTAGTCAATAGCATATAATCATTACACTCTCATTACAAGAAACACATAACTGTAGCATGCTTCCTTTATCAAATCTCTCGATTCCTAATGCATTCAATAATTACAAAATGAGAAAATTCAAGTTTCTCTCAGATCAAAAATGGTAATTGCAGAATTTTTTTAATGCAATTTCAGATACTCCTAGATCTGATTCCAGCTACTAAAACCCAATCAAACCTATAATCTGAAATAAGTGAAAACACCTAGATATCTAAATTACAATAAAAACCAAAAAAGGGTTTCTGGGAATCAAAAAATTACCATTATCTTCTAACAAGAGGGACAAAATCGAACTCAAAATCAAACATCACATACAAACTCAAACCCAAACACAACAACCTAATCACAAAATCCAAAGTCATAACCCTAAAACTCAACGAAATCGAAATCAAAACCCAAACTATACAAAAGAAACATAAAAAGGGAGAGAAAAACCTGGTGAGGAGCAATGTCGCCATTAAAGAGCATCGTTCTCCTGGCTTTTTAGGGTTTGCTTTAACATCTCCATTAGCGACTCACAGGCCAAAGTCGTATCACCTAATCAAAAGTAATTCCTAAAACCACTAACTAAAATAGATAGGGAAGTAGGGTCGAATCCACAGGTAAACAAGTCTTTCTATTCCTAATCAATTAATATAATCTAAGTTATCAAGTAACCAAATTGTTTCTAATGAGAATTAAACTAATGGAAAATAATTAAACTAAGGGAATAATCAATAAGGGAGGAAATCAATAATAAAATGCCTAGGGTAAAAGTTCACCAATAAATAATATTACAGGGTAAAACACAACAATCAATTACCAATGCATCAGTTAATCAGATCATAAAGGGCTTTTGCTACGTATTACAATCACAAAATTAATCTACCGGTATTAAATCGCATCTCTCGAATCTTGACTTAACCATTTATAAATTAACCTGCCTATTAAAACTAAGCCTAAACATTAATTCTCATCTCTCGAATCTCGAATCAATATTGCATAACTCATACAATTAAACCTGCGCAAATCTAATTGCATAGCATTAAATTAATCAATAGGAAATCAACCAAAACATTGACAATAAACAATAATAAATTACCCCGTCATATTAATTACGAATCCCCACAACCCTAGAAATGAAACTACTCGCACATATTTAAATCTAAACTAAGCAAGGCAATTAAAGAAAGCATAATTAAATCAAAGCAATTAAATTACTGAAAGTAAAGAGGAAAGAAATCGTTACCAAAGTAGACGGAAGTAAAGAATTGCATAAACTGAAAGTGTCGAGAGGGATCAAGAGTATTAACTAAAAGCTTAAATCTAAAAACTAAGAAATTAAACTAATGAGAAAAATAAAGAGAGAGAAAGAGAGAAAAGAAGGTCCCAAACTCGCTTAACAAAAGCGTATTTATAATAAACTAAGAAAACCTAAGCTAAAACGAAGATTAAAAGTGTTAAACGAACTCAAAAACACGCGCCCGATCAGGCGCTATCTCGCCCTGCCGGGCGCGCCTTCGGGCGAGAGCTCGCCCTGCTGGGCGCGCCTTCGGGCGAGCAGCTACTCTCTTCCTTCTTCCTCGCCTTGCCGGGCGCACCTTCGGGCGAGGGCTTGCCCTGCCGGGCGAGCTCCCGGGAAAACTTGGACTTCTTTAATTGGGTCGTTTCTTAGCCCAATTCACATTTCCTCTTTGGATTCTGAATACATGATCCATTGCCCTGGACTCTTCTTCTTTTTCGAGCCATTAATCACCAATTTGATGACTCCAATCGGTCCTGGGCTTCGGAATGTGGTCATATGAATGCGACCTTACTCCAACGCTCGTAGTGGCTCCAATAAATCTGGGAAAATGCTCCAAATCCGCAATTTCTTATAAAATAATACCATATCTACGAAAACACTAGAAAACGCATATTAGTAACAAAAGTAGCTCCGTAGAGCTGAAATAAACACAATTATGACCATTGGGACGGGGGAATAAATATATATATATAAAATAGACTTATCAGCGACATCACTATACTAAACACCTGTCACCGCCATCGAAGTGTCGGTTTTCAAGGTGGGTAGCTAGCGTGGAAAGAGGATCTGTAATAGAGGAGGGTTACGCTGGTGGTGGCTGCGTTTTTTTTTCGAACCCTTTTTTAATAACCGGTGTGAATTTCTCAGAGCTCATTTATAATTTTCTACTAGTGCTGATCTGTAGGTAACATGACTCTGATCTTGACTATCTAATCTGGCTTGGATTAGTCCAGCACCACTTCATCTAATTGCAGCTCGTCTGGTTGCTCAGGTGCTGGACTCTGCTGTAATTGCTAGATTGAAGGCCCATGAGGTTTCATGGAAATCTGGTAGCATTCTCTGGCTTGCTTTATATCTCCTTTAACTACTAATACTCCCCATGGACTTGAAAACTTCAGCAACTGATAATAGGTTAATGGGATGGCCTTCATTTTATGGATCCACGGGGTTCCAACTATCACATTATAGGCAGTATTGCAATTAACTCAATTGTATTTATAGTTTCACCACTAAACCCAACCATCACTGTAGATCTTTTGGTGATATCTGATTCCTTATTTTCTGCTTGATCTAAGGCATTATATTAGCTTCCATTGTCAACTAGCACCTTTTTCATTAGGCAATGGCCAATGTGGAGGGAGATAACCAGACAATCATGATGCTTTGGCTCATTGAATATGCTTTCATCGATCATTGTGTTCATCTAGTCCAATGCCTTTTCTTCTCTACCGGAATAGGTGTAAAGGATGCTGGAAGCTGACGTGCCGACACTTGCTATCCACTTTACATTAGAATAGGTCATACCACTTATGCTTGATCCTCCTGCTATGGCACTAATAACTACGCGGGGTGGAGGTGAAGCTGGTGGACCAGGTAAGGTTTCTATCTAACTTCATGCGCCTTTCATTTCTTCACTAAGAGATCTTTCAGGTAACCTTTCTTGAGCAACCAGGCCAGCTCTCTCTTTAATCCATTGCATTCATCGGTCCTGTGCCCATGGTGCCCATGATACTCACACCATCCGGCCTTATCCTTCTGGTGATCCGGCTTGTCACTCTTTCTAGGCTACATGATAGGTTGTCCGATATCCTTTAGAGCATTGACTACTCCTACTACATCCACATTAAATCCGTACGACTAGATGTCAGGATGATCTTCTGGTTCTGGCCTGTTAGAGCCTTCACCTGCCTTTGAATCTAACACACTACGTATATTATTACGCCTTAGATTATCTTGCTAGTTGTTCTGCCTGGGTCCAGAATACTGGTTCCAGAATACCCAGTCGGTCTTCTTGCAACTAGGCTCCTTGCTTGCTCGTTCTCTTCTACACGAACCTCAGCCATTGCCTTGGTTCTAACTTCTTCAAAAGAGGTGCAAGGATACCTAATCAAATCATAATACAACCTGGATTGATAATTGAGACCTGTGCGGAATGCTTCTGTGGCAGATGAATGATCGCAGTTCTTGATGTTGACCATCTCTCTATCGAACCTGTCCTAGTACTCTCTGGTTGTTTCATTCTGCTTCATGACGACTCGGTACAGGTCACTACTCTGCTTCTCCAATTCTTTGCTGGTTGCAAACTGCTGATAGAACATATTCACCAAGTTCGGGAAGCTGTTGATAGATCCAAGCTTAAGGTTAATCAGCCATTGTCCATTGGAGTGTAGGTTCAGATAAAGTAGCGCCAAAGGACTTGCACATAGTGGGATCAAACTATTAGAAAATAGGTCATTTTCGACGGAAAAATTCCGTCGAAAAATGCGTTTCCGTCGGAAATGGTCATCGGAAACGTGTTTGTAGGAAAAACGACCTTTTTCGACGGAATTTCCGTCGGAACCAATTTTCCGACGGTATTTCGGGAGTCGGACGAGATTCTCTGGCCTAGAAAGTCCGTCGGAATTTTCCGACGAACTGTTTTTTGCCAGAAATTTTCGACAAAAATTCCGTCGGAAAATCCACCCAAAAAAATTAAAAAAAAAAAAAAACCCTGCACTGTCACCACATACCTAGATCCACCACCACAACATCCCAGATTCGCCACCACCCACCTCGCTATCGAAATCTGCCACCCCCACCACACAACACCAACCACCTCGTCACTCCCACAACCCAGAACTACCACCCCCACTCACAATGCCACAACCCAGATCCACCACTTACAACCCCTGCCCACCACCACCACTCACTACGCCACCCCCAAAATTGAAACCTTAACCCAATTTTAACAAAACCACCTGAAATCCAACAAAACCATCTACCGAAATCCAACAAACCACCAGAAATTAAAAAAAAAACAACCTACTACGACCATATTATTCATACCAACCACCATAAAAATTCCAAATAAATAAAACAAGAAACTCAACAAACCAAATTTAAAGATTCAAAATTGAAAAAAAAGGAGACACATACCTTAGTTCCACCACATAAAACCCCCAATTTGGGTTTATAAGGTCAAATTTGACGATCTAGAGTTTTCATGGCTGAATTTGACCTAAAAACCTTCAACAAACTGGGTAATCTCTGACTCCGTCCTCTTTATCTCTCTTCTCTGTTGCCAAATTTATATCTCTTCTCCAACTCCAATACGAACAAATACTCCGTAATCTCCTTAATTACATGGAACAAAAAAAGAGAATCATCATTATTATCTATGCCTGCAATTTTGTTGCAGTAATCAGTTTGAGGACGGAGAAGAGAGAGAAGAGCATCTAGAGAGTAGAGAGTGAAGAGATCCGAGAAAGAGAATCGACAGAAGAAAAGAGAGAAAGGAGAGAGAAGAGAAATCAGAGAGAGAAGAGGGAAAATAAGGGGAGAAGGGCGTAAGGGTTGGCTAAAAAGAATTAGGGTTAGGTTTTTCTTTTTTTTTCTTATTTTAATTTCATTCCGTCGGAAATTAGTTAAAAACCGTAGGAAAATTCCAAAAGATTAAAATTCCGTCAAAAAATTCCGACGGACTTTAATTCCGTCGGAAATTATTTTTTCCAACGGAAAATTCTGTAGGAAACTATGTTTTCCAATGGAAAATTCTATAGGAAATTTTTTACGGACGTAAATTCCGTCGGAAATTACGTACTTTCCGATGGATTTTAATTCTATCGGAAATTTCTGACGGAATTTTTAAAATCATCGAAAATTTCTGATGGACTTTAAGTCAATCGGAAATTTTACATTTTCCGACAGAATTATGTGTCCGTCGGAAGTGTTCTGTCAGAAGTCAAGCTATTTCTTTTAGTGTCAATAAGTTCCCACGGAATTGATAGCCTCTTTTGCTTGTATTGGGCCATATGGTCTTGAGGATTGGTGGTCCCATCATAAATCTTGGGGAATGCCATAATATTCAGCTTCGTGGGAATCCGAACTCGTGCAATTTTTTCCAATAAGGGGGACTCAACAAATCCATTAGGGGATTCATAAGACACATGTTTCGGCGCACCTAGTAGCCAGGTCAAGAGCTTCATCATTTTTTCGGTTCTAGGCCTCGATGATGGCTACTTTC